TTGTGACGAGGGAAAGAAGAGCAAATAGATTGGTCCTGTGGCCATCATTGACACACTGCATAAATAAGAGGTTATTAAAAGATCAGCAAGATGACTGAAATACTTTAAGTTCACTCTGTACGTTACCTAACATTAACAGGTATTTCAACTACCTCAGGCTCCCAATGTTACTGTTCAATATTTAATAATTCTGAGGCACTTTTATTTATTTATGTTTATTTTATATGTTTTTTGTTTTGTTTTTGCTTGAAATACCTCAGGTTCATTAGGTAATATGTTTAATACCAATAATATCCTCTTTAAATTTTCTATAAAACTTTTATACCTCCAAGTTAGTTGTACCAATATTTGGCAAACATTATTATGGTTATGTTTGGACTTGCTTATGTTTTACAGTGTGAGTAGTTAAACATCCTACCTTTATTGGTGTATAAATGTTAATTTGCTTAAGCATTTGGGTCACTTCAATGGGGAAAAGAAAAACAAACAGAATCTGAAGACTTTTACTCAACACTTAGTGTTCCCGTTTGAGAGTATCTTCTTTAGGTGTTTATACCTTAGCACCTTATAAGTTTCTAGTTAATTTAACAGACATCCAGTTCACTTTATTCATTCCCTTCTTCTCTTATGACAGACTTACATTTCAGTTCCTTAAAAATACTATCCCTTAATGCTCGAGGTATTCGTGACAGTACCAAAAGAAAGTCAATTTTCATTTCCTGTAGACGGAAAAATGCTGATTTGATTTTTCTACAAGAAACTCATTCGAGTGATAATGATGTAAAATTCTGGAAAGCACAGTGGGGTGATCCGTGTTATTTTTGCCACGCCTCTCAACGTTCGGCAGGCGTAGCCATTCTCCTTAACAACTTTAAAGGTAATATTATTGAATCATTGTCTTCAGATGAAGGCAGATGGATTATTCTGGTTTTCAAATTGAACAACACCTTCTTTATAGTCTGTAATTTATACAGTCATAACAACACAACTCAGGCCAAATCTATGTGCATACAATTATCTGAGAAACTTGATTTTTTTTAATCAAAATATAAGGGAGCCCACATGATTCTTGGAGGAGATTATAATGATGCTCCAGACGATCTTATAGATAGAGTACCAATAAGAACATCTCAACACTCAAAATTTAAAAGCACTGCATTTTTCTGTGAACAACTTGCAGTTATAGATGTATGGAGATTCTTCAACTCTGATACAAAAGA